TATGATTGGTTTCTTTCTATCATATTGTAATTTGGAGTTCAAAACCTCATACAAGGTATTTAATATTATATTACTATGTTTCATTACTATTTATAAACACTTTATTCTGAATCAAGTAACTTAATAGTGAAGATATACATAAAGTTGAAATAATAGTGTTTTACAAACCTAAGAAGTAAGATCTAGCCCACTTGGATGGATGAATTTGCATTAACCAATCATGAGCTTTTACATTGAATTTTTTAAATTTTCCCAAGGCTTTCTGAAAAATGTCTCATAGTGGTAGTAGTGGCACACTTCCAAACGTAATATTTGAGATCCTTATTCCTTCAATGAAGTTTCATATCTCATATGCTTCAAAAAAACCTTATGTTCAACATAAGGAAACCCTTTGACAATTACAAGAATGTTGCCTCAATTTATAAAATGTTAGTGGTTTATTATTACAAACTTTAATAAGTCAAAATAAATCATTAAAGAGACTTTAACTTCTGCTTATCATAGATGAATGTGAAATTTAAATTAGAAGCCAAATCCAAGTCTTTACCTAGACATTCCAAAAACCATGTCCAAAAAATTATGGTTTAATCTTCAACTAATTCATAAGTTACATGGTATATTCCATTACTGAAATCTATTCTCACAGTTGTCAAAATCTCCCTTGGATAGGGACAATCTTACAATACAGTACGACACAACCCCAAAAATTCATCGTACCATCCTTGAATCCCATCTTCAATGCTCCCAAACATACATAGATCATCTAAACTAGAATGTTATAGTGGGCACCATTGGGTAAACCATGAACGATCAGTCAATTGAGTGGGAACCATTGTTGTCAAACCCTAGTATGATTGCTATGGACGAGAAGGCACTATGGGTCAACAATAATGGCTTGAAGAAGATTAGATAATCGATGTTTTGTTGGGAGGAGGATGAAAGAAAGGTCATGGACATACTTTGCAACTTCCGCTACGACCAAGCTTATGATTACATTACGTCAAAAATGAAAAGTCCAAAACGGTGTCACATGCAAGGACCATGTGCGTTATAAAATACATAGTTAAGGACCATTCATGCAAGAAATTTTCCATACACACCGTTTGAGGAAATATTTTAAAACCACAATGATCATTCGTTATTCTTTATCTCCAAAGTATATATATATATATATATATATATATATATATATATATATATATATATATATATATATCAATTGTTATATATATACTTTGCAGATAGAGAATGACAATTCAATGACTTTTATTTTTTTCTATAAATAATTTGAAATATATATATATATATATATATATATATATATATATATATATATATATATATATATTAAAAAAAATATCTGATATTTGTATATTTGAAGTCTTTGTCTAAATTTTTATACTAATATCTATTGCTTAACGTGTTACATAAATTCCGATTATGTAATTTTAATAATAAACTTATATATTATATGTAATAAAGATTAAAATATAAACTTAAAAAATTAAAGATATAAAAAAGTAAATAATATATAAGTTGTGGGGTTATTATGAAACTTAAAGGTGTTAAATATAAATTTTATATGTTCATACTTTGTTTTTATGCGGGGACAAAAAAAAAAGTTTTTGCAAATGAAATAAAAATCAATCCATTTTACAAAGGTTTCTAAATTCAACCAGTTTTTACAAAAAAACTCATTTCTTTCTATTATCTAAAACCTATCTATCCACCCCTCTCTCTTGCATCCCTAAGCCTCCGATTTGATTAGAATTTGAATATGTTTGTGGTAAATGGCAGCTTCAAGTGGCGATTGTTGATGATATTATGGATTTAGGTGGTGGTGTTGGTGGTGGATTGTGTATTTATGTGGTGGTGCTCGTAGGGATGAGCAGTTTGTCCAAAATCCCGATCTCATACCGGTACCGTACCGGAACTGGTACCGGTACCGAACCATACCGAATTTAAAAATATGGGACGGTACTTGGTACTCCAAATACATGAAATTCGGGAATCGGTACCATTCCCGGTACCGGTAATGTTAATTCGGTTCGGTACTTGGGAATGATTTTCGATCAAATTTGGTATTTGGGAAATCCGGAACGGTACCGGTCGGTACCGGTTCCGTCCCACACTCATCCCAAGGTGCTTGTGGACGATGTATTTAGGTTGTGGCGTTGTTGATTATTGGTGGGGCTGCTGGGCTGGTCATAGAACCGACGACCTCTCTTGCCTATTTTTTCAATAATAAAAAAAATAAAAATATGAAAAAGAGGGTATTTTCACCATTTTAATTTTTACATATCCTTAACGGAGGAAATGGACGGTAACAATTTTTGGGACCAAAGCTTATGTATTCTGTAAAACTCAGGACCATTGACATTAATTATTTAAAAATTAAATCAAAATTGCATATAGATACGTGGGACAGGAACCAAAACTATAATTGAAGTTACACATCTTTTTATCCAGTTTATGCTATAGGTATTTTAAATATATTAAATTAATAGCCACTTGTATACATTTTTGAATTATAAAGTGAATACCTTTCAGCTTTCTTAGATTTAAACGGTCATTTATTTAATAGAATAAAGCGATATTTATGAATTTAAAAAATAATAACGTTGGGAGTATGATGTCGATGAATGCGATCTTTTAGAAATTGTCGTACGCATCTTTTTATATTATTTTATTCAATTTATTTTGAAAAATACCTTTTCTCGCGTTGGAATCAATTGATAAAAAAGAACATGATTTGACCGAGAATGGCTGTAAACCCGTAGATTGCAATGTTTGATAGTATGAGGCCTTCCGGTTTGGTATGCATTTTCACCATCGCGGACTTTTCCGCGCGTGAACACCGCCCCCAAGGGACGTAGGTGTGGTGTGGCATGGATCCGGCTACGAGCGACCACAAGGAATTTGATTGGTTAATGCCATTTGACCACTTTTCTTGTGTACGTTAAATGTATTGACTGGAGAGATAGTTTAGATGTAGTTAAATGATTTAAAAGGAGGTAGATTGAAGCTTTGGGTTTTGGTAATGGCTAATGACCCGTTTTTCTGAAAAAAACGGGTGAAGAAGGAAACCAAAAAGGTGATCGGGTTTAAAAAGAACGATTCATATATATTTTTTTTAATTGAAGTTACAACAATTGTCCCCAAGGTCGTATCTCTTAATTTCATTACACCCTCCTATTTATCTCTTTGAATTAAGTTAAACCTTCAACTATATATAATATAAATATATAACTATATATGTTTATTTAATTTTAAAAATAAGTAATACGTGTATTTAATTTTTTTATTAGTAAAATGATTATTTAAGATTAAAATTATGTTTTCTTTATTTAATCTAATGTTAAAAAAAAAAAGTATAAATAATATGGAGTGGTAACAATTTTCAATGGCTAACGGTTTGTAATGAACATGTAATGGAAATGACGTGATGTATATGTGACAACATTTTTTAGTGGGTTGATGGTAACCATACCCCTGATAGATGAAAAAGCGTACATTACACGTTACATATCCAAAGAGCAATTAACTTTAATTACAAATATGTGTTTTTGTTCAATTTGATCATTAGCACTCTATCTCTTTACACTTCAAAATAGATGTCAAAAAAATCATTTTGGCAGATACAAAGGGTTATCAAGTTACCACGCTAACATAACGTGACACATGGCATTTGAGTCATCGGTACTGACCATACCAAAACAGATTCATAACCAAATTAAAACCTACCATATATCATGGGTACCAACGGCGGAAAAATAAATCCATGATATAGATTAAAAAATAATAAATAAAAATTTCTTCTATGTGCCTACTAATAAATCATTTATCCAACATGTACGATACACATATTCGTAACTCATCCTCATCCGATAATTGATAATTGACAAAGCGAGTTATTGAATATGTTGTCTATGTGTCTATGTGTCTCGATTTGACTGAGTCAGTCGCTCAGATTAATAGAAACAAGCGTTTTTGGAACTTCGACGATGACAAACCAACCAAAAAATATTCATCAAACTATAAACTCGTTATATATATATATATATATATATATATATATATATATATATATATATATATATATATATATATATATATATATATATATATATATATATATATACTCTTTCCAAAGTAGAGCTCATACTCGCCTAACTCAAAGTATGTTAGGTCGTGAATTTGTAATAACCTATTTACAAAACATGTAGTGTATAAGTAATGAGTTCCCTTCCTCGTTGTGGACATCAATGATCAAACCACATGCAATTTCCTAAAAAAGCACCTTACGTATCATGCTAGTATGTAGCTTCACAAGAACTTTCCTAGCAAGTTCTAGGTTTACATGTCATGGTCAATGAAGCATTGTACAAACACTCATGTTGAAATAACAGTAAACCAAATTAGTATAAAAGAAGCTAGGTGATGTATTTCAAACATATCCGTTGTATTCCGGACGAGGTTTTCATCTTGGACACACGTCTTGGACGTGTTCTTCAGATCCCTAGCTAGAATTGTCATTTCAACCCAACATTTTTACCACACTAATACTTAAGATCCCACATATAGTGACTATTGAAGCCTAACTAATGAGAAACACCCAATTACCACCCACGTGAATCAAAAACCCTTTTCATTCCGGAATAGTTCTTCAAATTTCGGAAAAGAATTTTTGTCTGAACTAAGTTTTTTCGTAACAAGAAAAAATGTAAAGATGTGTAAGCTAAAAACAACATACACATTACACTTAAGACCTCCTTTGTTTTTCTACAAAAGTACTTTTTGAGCACTTTTCCCTTCTGGCGGGTAGACGTTTCTCAAGTGAACGTCTTCTTCCGCAAACATGGACAAAGACAAAAGACATTTAACCACTTCCAAAACAAACAACACCTTAGTCTCTTCACTATCATATTCATTTTCCTTGGATTCCATAAAGTATAAAATGATATTCCAAAATATGGTGAGCACCATATTTCAGATACCTTTTACAAGGAGGGATTGCTTCCACAGGTGGGCACCCATCGGATCTGAACCGAAACACCCCAATAGGGTTTCATTGGTAATTTCTACAAAATATAAAAACATTGATTATTTATACTACTCCAAATAAATGATCATCTTTATGAATATCCCCTATATATTATATAGTTTTGTGGATTGCCCGTTGGAATTAAAAGTTGATTCTAAAAATCATTGGCGGAAAACCCGGTAAGGACCCCATGTGGAGCCTACATTTCGTACAAACAACTTCGCCTTAAGCGACACGAATCGTAAAAGACAACAACAAAATAGAGTTTTCAAAGATTTGTTTCGTAAACAATGAGAATTATATATTTTTTTTAAGTATTCGCAGCTTTGCATTAGATAATTATAGATACTACGGTTATAAAAAAAAATAATAATAATTAATAAGCTTTCAATAAATCAGCTAAGAACAAAATCAAAGCTAAAAAAAATGATTTTATGTTTGTAAAAAAATCTAATTTTATTGGTCCTACCTACTTTTTCACAAAGAAATAAATGACTGAACAATACAAAACAAAACCAATTCAAAAACAATTTGACAAATATTCATATTCTTCTTTCTTTCCCAGAAAATACACTCTACTAAATCCATAACCCCGACTCCATACAAGACTAATGTATCCAAAAAAAAAAAAAAAAAAAAAAAAAACTTAAACAAACAAATAGACTCCGTATAATATATCAATAAACCCTCATTCAAATGACACACCCACCTCCATTTGCTTGAGGTAAAATACCAAAATACCCCCACCCCACCCCCCCTACTAAAAGACCTCGGCCAACCCCTTCATACAGACCCACCACCTTTGCATCTCTTCAACACAGACCACGACTCGACCACTGTGTTACCCGACCCCACGAGATGCCCTGACCTGACCTGACCTGACCCGACCCGACCCGACCCAACGACTCGACCGAACTGACCGACCTGACCGGACTTGACCTCTGACGCCACCAACTTACTTCACCTTCCCCTGAAAAGTAAAAACCCTAATTGAGTCAGATCTAATTGAGTCAACAGAACCTCTTAACCATGGTTAAACTCAACATAGTAAAAGAAAGTCAAAAGTGAAAATTTGACTTTACCTTCATTCAGCTATTGAAATTGAATCCACCAGATGGAACTTGAACATTGTTTCCACCGAAATTAAAGCCACCTTGAGCACCAGCAGCATCAGCCACAGCTTCATCTTCCTCATCCAACCAATAAGTCTCAAGTATCTTAACAGCTTTCTCATAAATCTCATTATTATCATGACTTTGCAAATTCTCAATCTTTTCCAACCCTTCAGCATCATCAATCAACTGTGCATAGTAATTAACATCACCAGAATTCCCAGCATTCTTCTCCACTTCACCCACTTTCAGAATATTCTCAAGCCCTTCTAAGGAAACAGTCACAATCCTTGGATCAGGGCACACTAGAAGATCACACAATGGCTTTATACACCCTTGACTCACCAAATACCTATAAAATATAAATCATTTTTAACATTTAACATTTAACATTTAACATTTCAATTCATATTCCATATAAATCATTTTTAACATACTTGATTTGCTCATTGGTTCCACCAGAAGTGGCGTTTGAAATAGCCCATGCAGCTTCTTTTTTAATATCGAATTCAGCTGTTTGAAGAAGGTTGACTAATGGAGCAATTAATCCAGCTTCAATTACAGTTTGTATTTGTTCTTTGTTTCCAGCTGTGATGTTTGAAATTGTCCAGCATGCTTCTTTCTTGATGCTCTTCTTGTGGTTATGTGTCAACAAGCTTAGTAAACATGGAAGTGCACCTCGCTCGATAATATGCTACAAAATTGGAAAATTATATCATTTTTTATATACTTTTTATTATGTAAAACAGTAAAAGCATGAGTACAAAATGTGATATCAATATATCATACCTGAGTTTGGATATCATCGCCTGTAACAATGTTGCCAACAGTTCGAAGTGCAGGGATGAGAACTGAAGGAGATGGATGACTAGAGAAAAGAGATATGATAATTTTTTTTTATTAAAATGTTTAAATATGAAAAAGATTTAAAAAAAAATAAAGTGGGACTTACAGGAGAAGCTCAACAAGGCGTTGACAAACACCAGCATCAATCACAGCTTGAATTTTGTCATTTGTTCCATCAGAGAGATAAGAGAGTGCCCAACATGCATCTGTTAACACCTCTTCATCATTTGAATGAACAAGTCTCTCAAGTGCTGGAAGAGCTGGCCTTGTCTAGAAACAAATAAAAAGAAATCAAATATGAGAACAAAATAAAAATGTATATAAATAGATAAAATTGAAGATACCTGTTCAAATGGAGGCTGAGGTTTTCCCCTACAAAAGTTAGACAAAGTCCAGGTGGCGTTTCTGAGCATGGAGAGCTTAGCATTCTCATTTAACTGAGAAAGCAAAGGAATCAAAGCACCTTGGCCAAGAACAAGGTCACGACATCTAGGAGAATCACCAGCAACATTTCCTAAAGCCCAAACAGCCTGCAAAAGAATGTTGTGATAATGATTAAAGAGAAATGATCTTTTTGCAGATTCTTTAAGATCCATGTGTTTTGCTTTTACCTGTTCGCGAACATCATCACTTGGAGAAGCTAGAAGCTTGACAAAAATTGGAACTGCTCCATAATCGATTACAACTTTTGTGTTTTCAGATGTTCCTGAGGCAATGTTTGTAAGTGCCCAAGCAGCTTCAAACTGATGCGAAACGAATAATGATGTTAAAGAAGAAAGGCAAAAAGGAAGAAGATGAAGGAATGAGTGAAATTGAATAGTATTTTTACCTGAAGCTGTGGGAAATCTTCCCTCATTAAGAACTCGACAAAACGAGGTACAACTCCAGATTGTATAACTTCCTCAATTGGTGGGCTTCTTTCTGTGAAACCAAATTTAGGTCAAATTTAGGTCTTGCATTAGGGTATAAATGTAGGGTACAGAAGATTGTATATATATGTAAAATGTACCTATGGAAAGCAGTTTACGAAACTGAGTAGTTGCCTCCAGCTGCAGATTGTTATCATTGGAGTAAACTCCAGCAACCATGGAAGGAAGACTTTCTAACTGCAATTCGATCAAAATTAAGTATTCTATTAGTCAAAAGAATCAGTTGTTTAGATTCATATGTGATAAGTATATATAAAAAATTTAGATCTATTCAATTGCATACGCATGAAAGCTTGATAATCATAAACCTAGACTCATATGTAATCATGTACATATAATAATACAGGTCCCAAATGATGATATTTTCGTGTACGCAAGTATTTAAAGAGATCAACAAGTAAAGGTAATGATTAAAGGTAAACAGTTACACGAATACATCGATTCCTGAACTGGTAACAGTCAATTTACTAGAATCAAATAAGCTGCAACTCGAATTCAATCGAAGAATTAACAAACCTTTTTCTCAACGGTTGATGTTTGGACCGGAACACCACTTGACAGCGGCTGAGACGACGAAAGTACTTGACGCTTCTTAAGCAAGTTCTCTTCCCTCTTGTTCTTACGGATCTCAACCATGTTGTCCTCCCTCCGCCGCCTTCCTTCCTCCGCATCGACAGCCACCTTGTAACGGTTCCGACGAACCTCGGTCCTTGCGCTTGGCCTCAGAGACATGATTGATGGCTAATTGATATTTGACACCACTAGCGAAAACCCTAGAGATGCAAATACAGATTTAAAACAAAGTAATCAATAAAAATTCGTTGATTTATGGAAAGATCCAAAAACTATGATGAAAACATATGAATGAATTAGCTAGATCAATACAAACTCGAGGATTTACGGAAAATCAGAAACATACTTGTAGAGAGGGACGAAACGGAGATGAGAGAGATAGAGAGAGAAGAGGGGGGATCGATTTGTTAAGCGAAGTTTCAAAGTTTAAACGAAAGACTTTTCATTAATTTGATGTTGCAGTCCTTGTATTTTGTTAACGTTTTCATTATCTGCGAATTATGACATCGAGTTAGGTTAGATATTCTATGTTTCTTTTTTCTTAAAACAATAAAATAGTGTATAAATTTATGAATATATATGTGCACAAATGTCAATAATTATATTATTATTTGTGTAATATGAATATCTACTACATTATTATAAACGTTTTAAAAACCTTTTTTGTGATTAAGCATATTGATTGTATCTATGATAAATATTATATAACCTCTCTCTCACTTTGTTGTTTATAAAAATAAAAAATAATTCATATTATTATGTATAACTATAAAATACTATATCATCGTTATATGTTATACTATTTGATACTTATGTCAATTTTGTATTGACAAATACTTTTAATGATATAATTCTAAATAAAATTTTATTTTTTATTTAATTATACTTATTTAAACTTTCATAAATTTTTAACTATTTTTAATTAAATATATATTAAACTCTTTACTATTCTAATTTCAATTTTAACTTTTCGTTTTTTAAGCTAATATATTTACTTTGTTATTTTTTTTATTTAAGTATAGTGTTAAATTCAAAATAAAAATTAAATATACTTAATTTGTTTAATTTAAATTATCTATAACAATTAATGTAATACATTTAATTTGTTTAATTTAAATATGATGTTAAGTTTAATGATTTATTCCATAAAAACCCTTATAGTTTGACTTTTGGTTTTAAACCTAAAACTTTTTTTTTCTTAAAAATATTTAACTTTTACATGTAAGCCTAGAACGTGTAAATTGATTATATTCTATAAAGACCCTATATTTTGTATTTTTCGTTTTAAACCTAAATGTTTTTTTTTAAATAAACTTAGTTTTAATATATTCCTGATTATTTCATTAATTGAGCCCGTTAACAACAAATAGATTAGGTTTATTCCATAAAAGAATATCATTTCATCATTTCTTACTATGTTTATGTTCCTCATGTTTGAAGATGAAGCCGATTCATGGGAACCAATAAGTTGTACAAGAGAAAAAAAACAAGCAAAAATATGTCATAGGGTTTTAGAATAATTTATTCTTTTAGGTGATCAATACTTAGAACACATGTGAGTTACGGTGATATATGGTTATATGTTGATAAATCATCTCTATTAAGAAATAATAATGAATATGTTAAAGTTGAGTTTATTTAAAAAAAATAAAGTCAAACAGAAAAAAATATAAAATATAGGGTCTTTATAAAACAACCCCGATTTACTTGTTGGTAAAAGTTTGACATTTTTTTGAAAATAAGTTTTAGGTATAAAACAAATAAAAAATAGAAATAATCTTCTATGGAATAAACCATAAATTCAAAATATAAATCAAAATATCAAATAAACTTAAAAAATCTCTAAATGCTATTTTTAAAAAATAATAGAAAACTTTAAATATGATGTTAAATATAAACTTAAATTGAAATGTCAAATTAACATACAAAAAAATTTGATCAAAAACTAGATTTTATATAATAATAATAATATTTTTTAAAAGAAATAATTTTTTAATTAATTAAAAATAATAAAATTTTAAATATAATATTAAATATAAAACCTAAATCAATATGTCAAATGTTAAAAATAACTATAAATAAAAAAAATATTTTTATTTCTTGCATAACCCCACGTAACAACTATTGAAATAACGTGGTTTTAAAATGTAAGTATATATTTAAAATAGTTAAAATGTTTGTAACAAACTATTGATAGATTTATTAATTCAAATTTAATAATAACAATATAATTGTTTTTAATAATATAAATTTATCAATATTTTAATTATATTATTATATTACCAGCAATTAAATATTCCTATATGTCTAATAAGTAATAACACAATTTTGTAAATAGCTTAACATAATGAACATTTTATGCCCCATAATAACTTGACCACTCATGTATGTTTGTTTTTATCTTGGTTATTAGTATGACTTAATATGTGTTCTACATACATAACATATGTTGGAAAATTTTCAAAAGTATATGTCATGTGTATGTATGCAGAAATATAAAAAAGAAGAAAAAAAATAGATCTACAAGGATATAATCTCTCTTTTAGGAATAGGTTACTTTGATAGAAATAAAGTTGAATGTTGTTCGATTGATATGAATGTAAAGTACATGAATGAAAATGCGAATGCAGGCCAAATTAGAAGGACCAAAGAGTACATTCAGCTGAAACAACGAGGTATTTACGGTTGTACCCTCCCCGTGTCTATTCGAATTTGAAAATGGCAACCACTTGAAAGTAGGTCGATGCCAGGCAATGTTAACATTTGCCACCTCATTGTTATAATAAGACACCAACCCTTTTGTTCATAACAGACCACGTATCTATACCTTAACGTATTATTAATGCATTCATGATTAAAAAGGATAAACATAGATAAAATTATACAAGTGGTCTATGTGGTTCTTAAAAGAGGCCACATACGTCTTAAGGAAATTCTTTTACACCTTTGGTCCTTAAGTTTGGAAAATATTACATTGTGAGTTCTTATTGCTAACCATAAATAATATTAATTGTTTGTCAAATAATATGTTTTCTATTGGGTCTGTTAAGTGTTAAGTTGTTGTTTCTAACTCGATCAGATTCAAACTGTTTGATATTATACTTAGAAGTCTCTGACTCGGTCATGACTAATCTGATATGTCTCTTAGTCTGTCAGATTTAGGACTGTTTGATCGAGTCAGACCTTTACTCAATCAACAACTATCAAACAACCTATAACTTAACATAATTTATTTATTTTTAAATTTTTTACTATTATTTTCTTTAAAGCCACACCCTACACTCATCATTTCACCTTCATCCCCTTCCCCTTTCACCGGTTATATAAGAAGGAAACAAAACCTTCAACACTATTTTTTGTATTCAAGAAAATAAGTAGAGCTAAAAAGTTTGTATTCAACTCCATTTTTGTATTCAAAGAGGAAAAACCAAGTTCTTGTCTTCAACTCCACTTTGACATGATCTGGAGTTGGGTATTTGTCATTTTAAGGTTGTGGGGAGTGGTCACACCCAACCCACCGAAAAAACGTTGTCACATCAGCTTCACCACCAACCCACTAAACATTGTAAATGGTTACCACTCCACAAAATCTTTTTTTATTTTTTTTATTTTTTTAACATTATATTAAATAAAAACATAATTTATAACATAAATTAATTTTTTGAAAACATACAAAAATAAAACCACATTTCATTAATTAAAAACATAGAAATGTAAAACTTAAATTACTAAATTAAACATTACATTGTCTAAATAAAATAAAAATTAAAAAACATAAAAAAACATAGAAAAATTCTACTCGTCGTCGTTGTCGTCACCGACATAATCCGCCTCGTCGTCACCGTCCTCATCCTCCTCGTCTTCATTGTCATTTTGCCCTTAGAATTGTCTTTCCCATATGTATTCGGTCAAATCATGTCGTAGATTGTGATGTGTTTCACGGTTTTGTATTTCCAAAATCCTTGAAAAGTATGTCGGGTTGCCAACTTGTATTACTGCAGGTGGATTAAGTATATCGTTTGTGGTATATGAACAAATAGCCCTACCCTCTTCTTCTATTATCATGTTATGTAAAATAACACAAGCAGTCAACACTGTCGTCAATTTTGTCATGTCCCATGTTCGTGTCAGATGTTTGATTATGTGCCATGTAACGCTCTGTTCCGAATTGACTTCTAGTCTAAGGCTGTGGGCCGAAGGTTGGTCTTCATAAGGAGTATGGCTCTAGAGAAGGTAAGATCTAGGCCCATTTGGGTGCGGGTGATGTATTAGAAGTGTTTCGAGTGTTCGGGTTGTGTTTTGGAACCTAGGGGTAATTTGGTAAAGTGTCAGTTCGGGCTTTTGTGGATAATGGATTTTTGTTTAGAAGGTCTTAAGGAAAGTTTGAGTTGTTAGAAGTGTATAGCTTCTCGTCACCTTTCCGTGGATATAAGGATCGTTGAAAACGGATTTATAACGAAGAAGTTATGGCTTTCGGAAGTTTAGTAGTTTCAGGCTTAGCCGAGTACGCTGGGCGTACACAAGGAGTACGCTGGGCGTACTAGGGAAAAAGGGAGTACGATGGGCGTAATTTGGGTTACGCTGGGCGTAATGACCAGGAGTGGTCGCGAAGGTTCTCTGGAGTACGCTGGGCGTACCAGAATTACGCTGGGCGTAATCCCGTCAGATCAGAACCCTTTTTTAGGGTCTTGGACCCTATTTAAACTCCTTATCTCATAACCAAACCCTAACATCTTCAGCCTCCGCCCCTCTAAACCCTATAAATCGTATTATATCATCCATGGTGGCATTTTAAGCTTATGGAGTCCATTTTTGGGGTGTTTGACCCATTTTCAAGAAGATGAAGTTTGATGCAAAGATGGGAATCAAGAAGGAGCTTATGGATCTGGCTTTTAGGACTCATTCTCAGCTTAATGAAGGTATAAAGCTTTGAACTTGACCATTGAATGCTTAGATCTATTATGTTGAGTTTTTGGATCTTTTGGTCCCAAGAATGGAGCTTTATGGTTCCAAATCCGTTTTTAGGCTTGGGGTTGCCACCCTTGATGCTATTTGAGTCCCTAAGGACGAAAGTTGCCATCTTGATGGTCTTAATGGATTCATGCTTGAGTTAGGGTCACTTTTATGGAAGTAGAATGCCATTTTTGGAGTTTGGGTTTGTTTGGGGCATGCAAAGTCACCAAGTCAATGACTTTATGGGTTTAGATGTTAAGTATAACTCAGATCTGTGATTTGGACTTATTGGATCAAGTATTAAGCACTTAATGGATGTTGTGCATGAGCTGCTTGTACGCTGGACGTACTATGTAGTACGCAACGCGTACAGTCCATTTGCTCAGTACGCTAAGCGTACAGAAGAGGTACGTTGGGCGTACGCTCTCAGGAGGACTTGGGCCTTTGTGGACTTCGGACCTTTGGGTCCTAATGGTTTTGGGCCTGGAATTGTTGATAGTTGGGCCTGAATGCATCTTTGGGCCAAA